ATTTTACAGGACAGTCTCCTGACTGAACTCTTTGTAGTGCTAAAGACACAATCAATGGCTTTTATGTAACGTAAGTATTTACATGTGGGTTTAGTGTTGATAAAGCTTTCTGCAACTTCAACCTGAGTTTACTAGGTTTTTGCCTTAGATTCAGTGACCTAGTTGGTCAACTTATAACCCGTATCTATTTTTTTAAACTTTGTTGAAGTATGCTATACAAGCAATAAAATGTGCCCACTTTAAGTGTTTAATTCTGTGAGTTTTGGCAAAAGAATATGCCCATGTAACCACCACCACAAGCAAGATATAAAGCATTTCTGTCACCCCAAAAAGAATCCTCGTGCCCCTTGCAATCAACCTCCCCGCAGTGAGGTAAACACTGATATAATTTTTATCACCATAGCTTAGTTTTGCCTCTTTTAGAACTTCGTATTAAATAGAATCATACTCTGCGTTCACTTTTCTGTCTAGCTTCTTTCACTCAACATAAGGCTTTTGGGAGTCATCCATGATGTTGTATCAGTAGTTTGCGTTACCAAGAAGTACCCTCTGATGATTATACCATACTTTGTTCATGCATTTGCCTGTTGGTGGACATTTGCGTTGTTTCTGGTTTTTAGGCTACTGTGAATAAAGCTGCTATGAACCTTTATGTACCAGTCTTTGTGTGTGCACGTGTTTTCATTTCTCTTGGGTAGACACCTAGGAGTGGAATGACTGGGTCATATAGTAAATACATGGTTAACTTTAAAGAAATTGCCAATTATTTTCCAAAGTAGTTGGGCCATTTTACACTCACCATCAGTGTATGACAGTTCCAGTTGGTTTACATTTTCACCAACACTAGGTATTATCAGTCTTTTTAATTTTATCCTTTATTTAGGAAGGGTGTAAAAGTAGTATCTGATTGTGGTTTTATATGCATTTCTGTGATAATTAATGATGTTGAGCATCTTTTCATATACTAAACAGCCATTTATTTATCTTCTTATTTGAAGTGTCTATTCAAATCTTTTGCCCATTTTTAAGTCAGGTTTTCTTATTGAATTGAAGAGCTCTTTATATATTCTGGAAACAAGTCCTTTGTCAGATTTATGAGTTGTGGAAATTTCTCCCCATCTGTGGCTTGCTATTTTCATTTTCTTAACACTATCCTTTGCAGAGGAGACGTTTTAAATTTTGATGAAGTCTAAATTATCAAATTTTTCTTTCATAGTTTGTGCATGTTGTGAAGTATCTACAAAATCTTTGCATATCCCAAGATCCTGAAGATTTTTTGAATGTTTTCTTCTTCTTTCGTGTGTGCGTGTGTATGTGCGTATACATACACACACAATCATGCTGCCTGTAAATAAAGACAGTTTTACTTTGCATATCCCAAGATCCTGAAGATTTTTTGAATGTTTTCTTCTTCTTTCGTGTGTGCGTGTGTATGTGCGTATACATACACACACAATCATGCTGCCTGTAAATAAAGACAGTTTTACTTTTTTTTAATTGATGTGCCTTTTATTTATTTATTTTTCTTGCCTTATTGCACTGACTAGGCCTTCCAATCAAATGTTGAATAGAAGTCATGAGAGAGGGCATCCTTGCCTTTCTAGGGGAAGAATCTTCATTGGCTATTAAGTATGATGTTAACTGCAGCATCTCATAGATGTCGCTTTTTGGCTTGAAGTTTTCCTCTATTTCTAGTTTGCTGAGAGTTTTGATCTAAATAGGTCACATGTTAAATTTGCTCATGTGCTTTTTCTGCATCTACTGAAGTAATCATGTTTTTTTTCCCTCTTTTATTGTGTTAATGTGGTGACTTACAGTGATTTTTTTTCTCATGTTGAACCCACCTTTGCAGTCCTGAGGTGTTTAGCTCACCCCTTGCATCTGTATTCATGAAATATGTCATTGCTCTATAATTTTCTTTTCGTGTAATGCCTTTGCCTGAGTTTAGTATCAGGGCAAAACTGGCCTCACAAAATGAATTAGGAAGTGTTCCCTCCTCTGCTTTCTGAAAGAGTTGACAAAAAACACCATGTCTTTTAGTTTGATTTGCATGCAGCATGTACATTAGTAAACATTTTTCTAGATGACAGTGGGAAAGGACAGATAGCTGCAAGCAGGTAGGACCAAATGAATTTGTCAGTCTGAAGGAGACTATTTGAGCCAATCCTTAAGCCCATGGTTACCTCTGGAGGTGGTGACTTAAACTGGAAACCTACCAGGTCTCTCATGCCAGAAATAGAGAACAGAGGCTTTTTGAGCACCTACTAAGTGACTGATATCACTGGAGGGACATCTGATTAGTTTCCCAAGCCGATGGGTCTGCCAAGACGATGGCAGACATTCCACTACCTGTCAAGGTGTGCGGTGAGCTAAGTCAAGGGAAAGAAAGAACAAATGCAGGTCATAGATTGGATTCTCGGTGAGCTCACTAGTGAGCTGAAAATGAGAGGAAAGCACTATTTAATGACAATTTTTAAAAAGTAGAGCTGTTTTTCAGTTCAGCTGTTTAAGAGAAATAACGTCCAGATTGAAAATTCAAAGGTGGGTGCTCCAAGTAGGGAGAAATAAGGATGGGTCCCTACAGTCAAGAAAGGCTTCCCACACGAAGAGGGATCTGGCCACTAAGGACTGGCAGGGTTTGGACTTAGAGAACCAGAGGTAGCTCCAGGGGGGTTAGGCCACACCTCCCTGGCAGGAGATCAGGAGCGTGGATTGAGCATGAAGTCCGTGAAGTCGGGTAGGGCGCTCTTGGGCCTTCACTGCTCGTGGGAAATTCTTAGGTAAATGCGCCTGTAAAGCCATTGCCTGTACTTGGATTTCTCCTAGTAGACTAGAAGCTTCTTGAGCGCTAGGACTGTGTTTACTCATCTAAGAATCCCCAGCACTTGGTACAGTACCTAGTGTGGGATAGGTGCTCAGTTATCATTGAATAAATGAGTGAATGGAAAGGCTCTTATTACTGTCCACATGAGAAACCAAGGGTACAAGTGCCTCATGATGTTGACCTTGCTTTTGGAACCACCTAGAGCAGTCAGGGTACGAGCTTGTGGGAGTGAAATCTCAGCAGATCCCACAGAGAAAAGTCGATCTTTCACTCTCCATTTGTGCTCTGCTTTACCAGTCATACTCAATTCTCTACGTACTAGGATCACCTGGGGTGTTTAAATACAGATGGCTGGGCACCATCTCAGACTGATTAAATCAGAATCTCCAGGAGTTGTGCCCAAGATCATTTTTCTCTTTTTAAAGCTCCCCAGGTGGTTCTAAAATCAGCCAGGATGGAGAACCACTGTGCTACGCTCTTGCTTTTGTTTGAGATAACCAAGTAGGCTCTTAACTGTGTCAGCTGTAAATGATTAAGCTCGCAGTATAAATGCTTATTACCGCCACATTGTAATTATATCCGTGATGATTTCCACACACACTTTCTCTCTCTGTTGGATATCTTTTAAATAAAAGACCGCCAGTCTTTTACGTCTTTATAAACAGAACTAGAAAAACCAAGAAAAACATTTGCCATCTGAGGAGAAACAAAGAAACAAAGTTGTGAAATTCTGGGGGTAGTGTGTTTTTAGTGTGGCAAACAGAGCTACTCATAAATTACCCCTCTTCCAGTGGGTAGGAGGAAGAATTTCAACGTGGCTCTTCTTCATTTTGCTCTCTGGGTCATTTTAACAAATCTGCGCCTGTATTCAGTCTGCACTTTTTTTTTTTTAGCAATTGTCACCTTATAAATTCTACCAAATACATAATTTTATAAGAAATGCAGTATGAAAACCAATTTGTTCCTGGTGGGAAAGCTTAGAACTGGGTCTGAAGTGCAATAAAGTGCACACACCAGCATGCACGTGCATTTTGAGAGAGGCATAATTTGAATCAGACACTCAGAGGGGTCCAGGACCCAAAAGTGTCTAATAATCAATGCCTTTAGTCTAAACACCTTCTCTGCACAAAACTCAAGGTTGTGTGTGAGCTGGCCGGTGTACCCATCCAGGGCCATCTGCTACCACTCTTTTTCCCCTTGTTCTTTAATGGACCAGCAATACAGATTTGTTTGTAGCATCCAGAATGTGCCACATTCTCTCACTTTTCCAGGTCTTTGTATGGGCTATTCTCCTGGCCTCGAGTGACAGCCCTTTCCTCTGTCTGCCTTTTGTCTTCAAGTGTCACTTACGGATCTTTTCCTCTTAGACCCTGTGCTGGACAACCTCTGCTCCCGCCACTCCCACTGTGCCATCTGGTATTCAGGGTATCCTGCTGTCATTGTTAGTTTACAGACCTGTCTCCCTATCTGGATTATAACCTCCTTGAGTAGGGTGGCTGTCTTTTCATTCCTCCCCAGCACCTGACATAGCATCTATGTCAAATGCACAAATGAAGGGATCCATCAACTATGGGACAAATATGTGGCCTTTTCACTTGTAGGTGCTCTTGATCAAACTACAGAATGGATAAAAGAATCTGTAAATGAAGAATTACTTTCTCTTTCTGAGACTGCTTTGTCTCCTGGGGCTGAAAATGGCTCCAAGCCAAGCCTGAGCCCTACATTGGTGCTAAATAACAGTTATTTGAAACTGTTACAGTGGGATTATCAGAAGAAAGAATTACCAGAGGTGAGTGATTTTTTTCTTCCCTCAAGTTTCCCGATATTTTAAAGTTCTAACTGTGAATCAGCTGGTCTGTGTTGCACGTGGTTTAATGACTTTACTGAAATCAGATAAAAATGGGCATTTGGATGCAACACTGCTTGTTTTACATTTTCATGGTATTGAGCTTCCTTTTCTATTTTTATGTTTTAAATAAATATGCTAGACACTCATGACAGATGGAGCACGTCTTCAGGAACTGACAGAAAAGCTGAATCAATTGAAAGTTATTGCCTGCCTGTCACTAATTACCAACAACATGGTAGGTGCTATTACAGAAGGCCTACCTGAGCTTGCAGACAGGTTAAAAAGGATTTCAGCTGTTCTCCTTGAAGGCATGAGCAAAGAGTAAGTTCCAAGTGTTTTTATCTGCCTACCCTTGTATGTGTTTCAGAGAATGTGAATAACCTTGGGCATCTGGATGTGATATTCAGGACTGTGCTTTAGAGAAGCTTATCTTACACCTTCTTTTTCTAGAATTTCTTTTAATATCTCTGAAGGCTTACATGTCCTTTCATAGGAAGGGAGAGGTCTTTTCCATGACCAGTGCCAGGGTGAGTGTAGTATTTCCACTTAGGATGGGTGTGTGCAAAAACTTCTTTGACAGGGCTGTGGAAAAAACAAACAAAACCTAGAAATCCACTAAGCTCAGTGTTTAAAATACCCTGTCAAAGAGGCTTTTCAGATTAAGTTGGTCTGATTCCACCATTTTTCTGTAGTGAAATGTTCACCAACTTCACTGACCCAGCCTGCTGTGAAGTCTTTAGAAGAGGTGACATCGCTGTCCATTAAAGATGTTAAACAAGTCCAGGAAAGGATCTATTTTTTAAAAAATTCATTCCCAGTATCATACCTTCATTAAATACTAGAATCCCATTTAGAGCATCCTGTTGGGAATCCTGTCCAAGACAGAAGATTCCTAATCTTAGTCAATGGCCAGATTTTCCTGTGGTCTTATATGAGTTAACTCCTGCTGCTGGTCCCCCTTTCAGGTGTTTTCAGGGACTTGGACTCCTTATTCCTCTCACTGAGGGGAGATGCTCCCATCCTTCTATACTCCCACCCGTTACTCAGACAGCACATGAATTCCCTGAGAAAATCCTAGAATAGTAAGAGCCAAAAGGAGCCCGAGTGGTCACAGAATGCAGAGTGCTCATTTTGAACTGAAGCTCAGAGAGAGAATAGGATTTGCCTTGGGCTGCAAAGCAAGAAAGGGAATCCAAGGCCTGGGCCCTGGCCTGACGGCCTCGAGTGCTGCTGACTCTGGTGTGAACCTACCAGGCGTGGCTGCTTCACACTCAGCCCAAGACCTGTAACCAAAAGAAACCTCTGGTTTTGCTTTTGGTCTTACCTTAGTGTTTCCCCACACGAGGTAACCATTACTTTCCAGAAACCCTTTATTAATAAATAAAGTCATTAGTGATCCCCCAATGCTGCTTAAGTATTTTTATACAGCATATAGCAAAGTGGTTACTAAGAGGACAGACAGGCAGGGGTTTGAATCCCAGCTCGGCTGTGGTTGGTTATACCTTGAACAAGTTCCTGAATCACCCTGAGCCTCGTTGCCTCTTTTGCAAAAAAGGAGTAATAATTGTACCCATCTTGGAGTTGCGAGAACTCAGGATGATTCATATGAAACACTTAGTATAGGTGTCCAGGACATGGTAAATGCTTGATAAGTGTTAGCTGTTAGTAACTATTTAGTTGTTATATCATCCTCTTCACAGTTGCTCTGCTTATCTGGTTGTATTATTGTTTTGTTTAAACTGCCCCCCCCCCCAACCTGTGTTGGGAAATGAATATAGTTAATTCTCAATTATCCTCATTGTGGATGGGATAATAACATTCAGAATATAAAAAAGCAGATGGTTCCAAGTGATCAGGAGACCCAGGTGTCATTTACATTTGGTTTGATGAAGCATCTTGAAAAGTAGCAAGAATTTTGCCGCCTTTATTGTGAATAGGAGGCCATAGTTTATGCTAAAATTTGTTTTTTTCTTTAGCCTGAGAACTCACTGATTAAAATCAAGAGAAAGCTAAGGCAGTACCTTGTGGTAGGTAAAAGTCAGGAGGTAAAAATTTTGTCATAAATATTCTATCTTTCAGTTGTAGAACCCCAAAGGCAGGTCCAATGTGATTTATAACAAATTCCAGACAAGGCAGAAACACCAAGGACTTGTTATTGTTGTTAATGATGATAATAATGATAAACAGTTTTTCTCTTCTTCTCATTAAGCATTTACTACATGCCTGACAGTCTGCCAAGAGCTGATATAGTCACATAGCAAGTTTAGTGGTGGAGTCAGGACTTGAACCCAGGTCTGCCTGACACCACAGCTTATGCTCTAACCACTATATTATGCTGCCTCCTGTTGTTGGGCCTTTCTCTCATTCTTTAATTCCCATTTTGAGCAGAGCTATCTTAAGGACCCTTTCTGGATAGTGAGATGCAGTTTTCAATGATCATTCCCCAATAGTGAGGACCCAACAAATGCACTTTCTAATTACCCTTTTTTCCTTACCTATTAAATAACCCACTGCTAATTACTTTCTACAATTTTCTGGACTCTATATATTTGGATTATTGATCAGTTACTTGAAAGTAGCAATGAGAATGAACTTCTTATCTTTATGGTATTGACCTTTGAATATCTTCATTTCTTGTTTTTCATTGGTGTTATAGATTTCCTGCTCAGGCATGGATAAAGGAATTGATTCTACCTCGTTTTCCAAGCTAAAAAAAAAAAAAAAAAAATCCATGAATGAATCCACTCAGACTAAAGGGTTTATTTTAAGAAGTAAATAGGTATTTTGTTTCCTTTTCTGATAGCCCTGCATGAAAATGGGGTTGCAGACTTATTTTCAGGGACCATATTTTTCTGTCTGTGCTGTCCTATTTAAACACTACCTACAGAATTGAGTGGTTGAGTAGTTTTAAGTATTTAAAAATATACTACATATAAGGGTTAGTGGTTGGAAGGAGTTACTGTTTTCTAAGTACATTCTAATAGAAGTAATTATTGTATTTATAGGAGAAAGTTGGTAGATATTTGAAACAAGTTGGTATATTAAAAAGAAAAACTGACAAACAAAAACTATCTCTGATGGGATTTTGTCTTTTGTTTTCTAGGACCTTTAACTTGAAGGAAGTCCTGAATTCTATTGGTGTTCAGACTTGTGTTGAAGTTAACAAGACCCTGATGGAGAGAGGTTTACCCACTTTAAATGCTGAGGTTCAAGCTAATCTTGTAGGTCAATTTTCAAGCATCGAAGAGGAGGACAATCCTGTCTGGTCTTTGATTGGTGAGTCCTCATGTTTTTATTGGTTTCTGCTTCAATTCCGATTTGCTTTAACTTGCTGGTCTTGACCAATAAATGTCCATCAAATTTTAGTTTTAAACAGGTTACCTGCTTCTTTTGGAGAACAAATATTGAAAATATGAAGAAAGTATTAATATTTTCAAAGATTAAGGACTCATTGCTTCTTCTCTGTGTAGTGGGCAGGGGATGCTTCAGGGCCTTCCATCTTCCTATCAAACCAATAGATTTTTACAAAGAAAATAACATAATGCTGCTGGTAATGTTAAAATCCTAGATCAATACAGTGATCCAAACCAGCTGGCAGTGTGTTCACAGAAAGTAGATGTTGGTTATGCTGTGAGCTAGCCAAAGCGAGCTGAGGCCCCTTTCTTGGTCAGGCTTCAAGAGACAAAAAGTAAGAAGGCTGTGGAACTGGGAGGCAAGTGGGTGGGCTTTTTTGGTACCTGATTGCTAAAAAAGTGAACATCTTGGTGTCAACTTTTATTGGTGAGTTGGGAAATGGAGAATGTATCAGTTAGGACTTTTTCTGTTACCTGTGACAGAATCTAAACTTCTAAACTAGCTCAAGCAAAAAGGAAATGTATTTTCTCATATAACTGAAAAGACCAGAGGGCTGACTGCAGGTACAGCTTCGTCAGAGCTCACACTGTTGCCAGCCCTAGTTTCCCCACCTCCCTCCCTCAGCACTAGCTTCCTCTGAGCTGGCTGCACAAACAGTCTCTTCCTGTCATAGCAAGGTGGCTTCAGCTCTGACCTACATCTTCCCATGTTTAAGTTAGGTGCAAAACAAGGAGTCGGCTTCCCTGTCGGCTCAAATGACCCCAGAATTGAGTCTCATTGGCTCCAGTTGGCCTGACTGTAGGTCATGTCCCATTCTTGAGTCAGGCATGGTGGCCAGAGGGGAAGGAACTCAGGCCCAAGATGTTGTTCAGTTCCTGGAGGCACAGTGAGTCAGCTTCACCTGTAACACCTGGTCTGAGAGTAGAGAAGAGAGAATCCCCCCAAACAAAATCAGGGTGCTGTGGCCGTAAGAAGGGGGAGAGGGTGATGTGGGGCACAAAGCAAGTGTGTACTACAGAGGGCGGGGAGTAAAACTAGAAGGCAGAAAAGAGTGTGGAATTAGCATATCCTAACATTCCACGGCTAATCTGCAAGTTTTCAAAATACATTGACTTCGCCAAGAATACAGATACTTGCTGTTATTTATTTCCTCTCAAAATAGTTTCTCTCATCCTTATCCCTGGGTGCATGGAATGCTGGACATCTAGGCCACACAGGCCACTTAATAGCTCAAAGCTGCCACCCCTCCCCCAGAAAAGAGCCATGCTGGTGTGCAGCACTGCAGGCTGCTGAGAAGTGACAGCTGATAACAGGAGCAAGCACAGCATAACCACAGCCGCCCGTGGCTGAGCCCTCCCTGTGTGACCTTCACTGCCGACATGCGTCTGTCCTCACAGCCTCTAATCTCCAGCTGAACAGCTGATAGCTGGGAGGTTGTGTTCCTTGGAGGAAGAGGGCAGACTGCAGTCTCTGCCACATCCTGCTAGCCCCCAACGAGAGTGCAGGCCTCATGAGGACAGGGTGCTATATCCCCGTACCATGCTGGGCCCATTGATGACACTCAATAAATATCTGTGGGAGGGGGGAATGCCTTGGAGACTTGGAGTGGTTAAGGAGCTCTCACCTGAAGGCACATAACCAGCCGGCTGCAGAGTCAGGATTCTCCTCGAGCCTTTCTGACTCCAGAGCTCGTATTCTTTACTGCTCTGGTTGGCATTGCAGTCAGAGCTGGAACCCTGCTGCTTGTTGGCAGGGTGGCCAGAGCATCTCTGTGCCCTTGCTCTAGATAAGGGAAGTACTTGCAATGTCAGAAGGGAGAGGGAAGCTAGGAGCCAGGAGATGCCACACCCAGAGGTGGCTTCTCAAAATCCGGTGAAGCAACTTTTTTCCACCCAGCCATCCCCAGTCCAACGTTCCTGTTCTTTTGTAAATTGAAGGGATTTTTTAACCTCATTCAGAGTATTGTTGCCTAGCAACTCGGTTGACTCACTTGAGGGTGTCTCCTTTGGCTCTGGAAGCCAAGGGCACGCCTTTGGCAGGGACTCAGTGCGGCTGCTCCTAACTGGACAAGCGCTTCTGTCACTTTAGTCTTGGCCTAAAAACTGACTCGTCTACAGAGGAGACAGAACCACTTGTAAGCATAATAACAATTTTGAAAGAGTTTCATTCTTTAAATAATCTTGCAGGAAAGTGTTTGGATTGTATCTGCAATGAAAATAGACCTGGGCTCCTGAGTCACGCAGCCCGTCTAAGGGGAACTTTAGTACACAGTGGACTCTTACTTTTCTGCCTGCAGAGGAGTTAGAATAAATTAAGCAGTTAGAGGGATCCCTGGGACAAAAGAAGGACTAGACCAACCTTAGCTATGGAAGATATAGAAAAGTTTTCTTTCAAACCAATACCAAATGCATACCAAAACCAGGTAAAAATTATTTATAGATTACCCACTGTGAGGATTATTTGCGTGCTTATAGCCATGTACATTTTTTTAAAAGTAGTTTTCAGTTACACAAGTGATACCTACATGAATAATTTCTTCTTGCTGATAAGTTACAGACAAGGCCCCAGTCATCTTTGACTGCCTCCTCCAGCCCCGTTCCGGCCTGACTCCCATTGCTCTCAGTTTGGTGTTGATCTTTTGAGACCTTTTCATTCTATTGAAGAATGCTTTCGAGTTTGGGCAGAGATGAGGAGAGGTGGAAGGGCATTCTAGTAAGAGGAGACAGTCTGGCTAAGATGGGGACATGGGACTTTGGGAACTTTGAGTTCTAGGATAGATCTGCCTGGAACATGTGACTTTTGGGAAGAGTGTTTGGAGGTAAGTTTCGTTGATGTCTTAGTTGTCCATATTCGATGGAGTGTGCTCTCCTTAGCAAACTTTCCTGTTTGTGAGGTTTCTGTTTCCAAAGCCAAAGAAAGTCCTCAGAGCAGCATGGGCTGTAGCAGGTCTGGTTTGTCCAGTGCTATGGCAGCCTAGTTTGTGTATGCCTTTGCATGCTTCTGTGAAGTAGTCTGAAATGCAGATGCATTGAAGCAGCGAGGCGAAAGGTGGAGAAGGAGTGCCCATTGGGGCGGCTCTTCTTCAGTGCCTCCAGGCTGTCGGCCACCTGTGGGGTGACCATATAATTTGTTTTCCAAACCAGGACACTTTTGAGAGTGCTCTTATTAATTATGCCAGGATAACAGGTGTAAACTTCGACTGTCCTGGGAAAACCTGGATGTGGTCACTCTTGCCATGTGGTAATTTGGGCTCCTAAGTTTCTAGGTCTCTAAGCAGATTTTTCAAGAGGAACCAGAAATTTGGATTTTTACATGAAATTTTCTGATTTTAAATGGTTTCTATTTTTTAAAAAACACTATGTGGGCCAAACTGGCAGTGCCAGTTTACAACCTCAGCTGTAGTGTACCTAACTAAAATTATGGGCATTAAGTATTGAGTTTTTGTAAAAGATTCTCTGCCATCCCCCGAAAGTGCTGTACATTTTTTTATCAGTTAGCTATTACTGCATAACAAGTCACCTCAAACTTCATAGCTTAAAAAAAAACAAGCAGGGGCCGGCCCAATGGCATAGTGGTTAAGTTCACGGGCTCTGATTCAGCAGCCCAGGGTTCACAGGTTTGGATCCTGGCCACAGACCTAGCACTGCTCATGAAGCCACACTGCAGCAGCATCCCACATAAAGTGGAGGAAGAAGATTGGCACAGATGTTATCTCAGGGCCAGTCTTCCTCACAAAAAAAAGAAAAAAAAAACCCCAAGCATTTAGTATTGCTCACAAGTCCATGGGGCAACTGGGTAGTTCTTTTGGTTTTGCTGGGCTCACTCAAGCATTTGTGGTCAGCTGTGGCTTAGGTGGTTAGCTCTGCTGATCTTGGCTGGACTTTCTCAAGTGTTTGGGATTTGGTTGGTCTAGGATGGCCTCAGATAGAACAGCTGAGCTTCGCTTGATATGGCCTCTCATCAAGCCCACGCTTGCTCACATGGTAGTGGTAGCTAGGGAGAGCAGATGCAAACCATGCCTCTTGAAACCTCAGCATGGAACTAGCACACCGACACTTCTGCCAAATTTTGTATTGGCCAAAGGATGTTATAAGGCCAACTCCAATTCAAGACTTGGGGAAACAGACTCCAGCTCTTGATAGGAAGAGCTGCAAAGCTGCCTTGTAAAGGGCATGGATACAGGGAGGGTAAAGAATTGGGAATATTATTGCAATCCACCTACTGTAATTAGTATTCTCATTTAAAAAAAAATATGTGCTTTAATAATGGGACTGATAAAGATATCTTATTTTTCCCCAGATAAGCGAATCCAACTGTACATGAAAAGTCTGCTCTGTCTTACGAGCCCTCAAAAATGCATGCCTCCCATGCCAGGAGGC